GAACAGGTTGACAAAGTGGGAAACATCTGATGACACATAAAGTCGTAGAAACATTTTATGGCAATAACTGGTTTAAAGGGCTGATGAGAAATATGGAAGATGGCTAGACTAACAAACTCCTGAAGCGGTTCTGTGACACTTTGGGTCTGATGGTTCTGGTTCTGTTTGCAGGGAGGAGAAAACAGAACAGCTGATGGATTCAAAACACGAGGCGGAGCGTCTGGATCAGGAGCTGCAGAAACTCAAGCAAGAGGTCCGATCTCACTCCATTCAGAGCCAGAACATTCGTCCAGCCGGTTACACTTATCGTGTGTTTGTGGATCAGAACCAGTCGTTGTCCTGCGAGGCCCGTTCGGTCCGAGCGTACCGGGACGAGGTGGACGCCCTGAGGGAGCGAGCGGCGCGGGTGGACCGGCTGGAGGTGGAGCTTGGCCGCTGCAAGGAGCGACTCAACGATGTTCACTTCTACAAGACCCGGATGGAGGTGGACGTGAATACTTGGAGCACAGGTTCTGTGTGGCGCCGGTCGCCACACAGAACCTGGTCTGTGTGGCTGGACCCAGTCAGGACCCGGTCAGGACTGTGCTTCGTTCCCGCAGGAGCTGCGAGACGACAACACGACGCTGCTGGAGACCAAGGTGCTGCTAGAGGAGCAGCTGGCGGCCGCCAGGGGGCGCTGCGACAAGCTGCACATGCTGGAGAAGGACAACCTGCTGCTGCGCGCCAAGATCCACGACCTGGAGATGGTACGCTACCAGAACCTGACAGTCCTCTCTGGGTCTGGGTTCCCTCCAGAACCAGAACCTGATGGTCCTGGTTGTCCTGCAGGAGCGCGAGGGCGACCGGCAGCGGCTGGAGGAGCTGTTGGAGGAGAACCTGCTGCTGGAGCTGGGCCAGAAGCAGAGCATGAACGAGTCGGCCCATCTGGGCTGGGAGCTGGAGCAGCTCTCCAAGAACCATGATGGCCTCGCCTCAGAGAGTACGGTTCTGATCGGCCCGCCAAGCTGCTATCGGGTCAGCTCCCTGAACCGGCTGACCTCTCTGACCTTTCTGCTCCGCAGGTCGCAAGTCTCTGGTCCACGAGCTCAATGAAGGCGTCTCCAGCCGGGTTCTGAAGCTGGAGAAGGAGAACCGGGAGCTGCAGGCCTCCATAGAGAGACTGAAGGAGGAGAACCTGCTCCTGCAGGAGCAGCAGCTGCACACGCAGGAACTGGACCGGGAGAACCAGAGCCTGAGCAACAAGGTGAGCAGGAGTTGGACCTCAGCAGATTTCTTATAAATCTGTCATACCTGTGTTACCTGTACGCCGCAGCAACTAAATAACACCAGCAGCAGCGCTAACGGACTGCAGTGTGAACACACTCAAAAGTGACAATTCCACTGTAATTGTAGGAAAAGAGGTAAAACTTTTACGTACAAGTTTATCATTCATTATTAGCTGATACCATGTAGACACATTTCATGTCATTGTTGACATCCGGAAATGTCGCGAAGGCAAAAAGTCGATTCTTTTCCTTGCCATCCGTAGGGCTGCCACCGTTCAGAAACCAAAATAAGGGGCGTCCGCCGCAGTGATGGATCATATTTTATGGCGCTGTTTTCTGTTTTTAAAAAGTGATCCATAG